ACGGCGTAGGCTGCAGCCCCTGTGGCAGTGGGTTGCCATGGGCTACCGTGTGTAGCCAGCAGCCAGCGTGAGCGGCCAGCAGCCGCTGTGAGCAGCCGTCCAGAAGCCGGCGACTGATCTGCCTCTCCCGGGAAGAGCGCAATGATGGTGCCAACTTGGGCCAGTGAGGCGACGTCCTCCACAACTAGACTGAAGAAAAAAAGGACAGCAACTTAACTGTTCCTTTCTCCCAATTCCCCAATAAAAATCTTTTTTTAAAAAAGCAACAGCACAATTGGAAGAAAAAAAAATAGTGGTTACCAAGTTTCTTTATTTAAGAGTTGACTTCTTTCTCATTTTCTCCCCTTCCCCATTTCCTGGTCCCCCTTCTAAAGCTTATACTAACATGGCTAAACTCAACCCCTAAAAGAAGTGCATTTCTTATTCTGGAAACACCACCAACAGTATATGTGGTATAATCTCAAGGTGATATTTGTATAAAAAAATTTGTAAAGACATTGGAAAATGTTTGTGTACTAATACCAAATCAATACTTAAAAGATCTCACACATTAGGGAAACCAGGTTAATAATGGGGAGCATGTGCAAGGAGTCAGGGAGACAAGCCAGAGGGGAAAATTGGGTAGTATTTTCTGCCACTACTAAAAAATAATGAAAAAAGAAATGAAAAGAAAAAGAGAGGGAGGGAACAAAGGAGAAAACAAGTGAAAAGATGAGAAAAGAAGAGACAAGACAGGATTCATTGTCAATGCAAAGGGTAAAGCTATACAGACTGTCCTTTTGAGACTTCTTTTCCCTTTAAAAATCTCCTCAGTATTCATTTTAATCTTTTTGTATGGGGAGGTTGGAGGGGGATTGCAGAGAAAGGAGCAGAACATACAATGATTTTGCCCTGGGCAACAGCACTGCACCAGGCAAATATCTCGGAGGAAAGCAGGACATAACATTAATTACGTAAAAAAAATAAAACCTGAATGAAAAAGAGTTTCTCTCTGTGGCTATTTAGAGTGAGAGAGAGGGAGGGAGGGAGAGAGGGAAGAAGGTGGGGAGGGAGGGAGGAAGGGGGGGGAGAGAGCGAGACAGAGAAAGAGAGAGGGAGGGGGGAAGGGAGGAGGGGGGAAGGGAAGGGAAGGAGAGTGAGAGAGAGAGAAGCACAAGAGCAAGCAAAGGACATAGAAGAATATACATAAACTAGTTAATAACAATTTTCCAGTTAGTTTTGAGTGATCTATATATGTTTTTTCTTTCTTAGATTTTTTTTTGTGATAATAAAAATTCATTAGGAAGAAATTCATAGGGAAAACCAATTACAAATAAACAGGTTTAATTACAAAAATTTCTATGCTAAACAGCAAAGTTGTATATGAAGACACTAGGAAGAACAGAGTTCTCTGAAAAAAAGTGAGATGACATTTTAAATGCTTTGAAATAGCATAGTATAGTTGCAATATTAAGATAGGTAAAACAGTAAGTTCAAACAGCTACTATATTTATAGGGTTTTTTTGCAATAGCATATATATACTCATTTAGAAAAGGTTAACTAGTGAAAATATTAAGTAATGTTTAAGAGTAACACCTGTACATAAATAAAACACATATTTGATGGCAATTATTCTTCTCAACTAATGTTTAACTTGAAACCTTGCTGAATTACGCAAATCTTGACAAGCGGGATTAGGATGCTATTTTAAGTTCTATGCTAAGCCAGCTCTTTAAAGGAGTTATAATAACATTTAAGAGTAAGGAAACATAGTCCAAATGGTTAATGTGCTAAAGCACTAAAGCAAGTGCATCAAGTTGCTGACATAGGTAATAACATTGATCAATTCTACATTCAGGAAAAACAAGATGTCAAGATAAATGAACTGATAAATTATTCAGGAGAAATTATTTATATATGAAGCAGCAGCTAGAAAAGATGATCCATGCTATTATACAACGGAACAAAGATATAAGAAATTGATACATTAAGGATTCTCTTCACTACAGAGGTCAGAGAAATTGAAAAAAAAAATGTTCTGGACTATAGTATGACAGGAAAATGCTCTAAGGGACGAAAGCCTGAGAAAACACAAAGACAAATTTTCACAGCAAAGCTAATTTAGAGGTGACTGTAATCTGAGGTATATTTTGAGACAGTGAGAAAGCAAATGTATTAAAGAGATGGCTTTGAACAACTAGCAAAAATGTACATAAAAGCTAAAGAAAACTGTAGTTACGGCAAGGAACATAATCACACTATTCTGAAACACTGGCAAAGACTGAATCGCCACCATGCATTCTCTTCTTCCTACTTAGTAACAGAAACCAATATTATTTGGGCAGCAATGCATCCAGCTAAAACAAAACAAAACAACATGCCCGGCATCCCTTGCAGCTAACTATGGTAACTAAGTCTGGACTAAATTCTGGGAAACAAAACATAAACATAAGATAGGACTTCTGAAGGCAGACAGGGCAACTCCTCCATCCTTCCTTTCCTTTTCTCTGTTTATTAGAATGTAGCATAAAGAACAATGAGTGATCTTGAAAATATAAGTCATATATAAAGCATAATGGAGGAGAAATATAGGAGCCTGGTGCTGCCAAACAAATTTTGACAGTCTGTCTAGATTCTTTCATGGGAAAAAAAAAATTTCATTCTCATTGAAGCCTTTATTTTTTCCTCCTGATAGATTTGACCAAACCTAATTCAAGCTAAGAGATGCACTGACTTATAAAAAGATTCATTTGAGTTTTATATTAAAGTCCAACCAATCAATGGAATAAAGATCCATGTGAAACTAAAACTAAAGAAGTGATCATGCATTGTAGTTTGGGTAAATAAGCAAAAGAAATACAACAAAAATATGATATAGCCTAGCTAAGAGGTTCTTAAACGAACAGATGAACTTAAAAAGTTCTTAGAATCCCTACAATCAAAAGAACACTTTTTATTTAAAGTATGCCCTCACAAGGGGGATCACTTCATAAGTTATATAAATCTCTAACCACTATGCTATACACCCATAACTAATATAATGTTGAATGTCAACTGTAATTGAAAAAAATAATAAAGTTTGCCCTGAAGAATATCTTTAATCAAATTCTCAATGGTATCCATGATCCTTCTACAGTCTTCAAGTTTTTTCTTACTCTTCCTGTTACATTTCAAATACTTTTCTCATGTCATATCTTTCAAACAGCTAGCTAATAATGAATCTGCTATAATATAAAATATACTTTTACTTTCAAGATATGAATAAAACTTCCCTTTGCTAATTTTGTCTCCAGATGAGTGTCATTTATCTTCTACTCATTGTTTCTTACCTCCTCGTGGTAGTTCTGTATGAAGATAAGCCAGTCCTCTAGTCACAGAATGAGCCAGACGGCAAGAGCTTACCCAGTCACTTGTATGGAGACTCAAATACTTGCATAGAGATCCCTACATAGAGGAAATAATATCAAAGAAAAGAAAAAACAGGGTGGAATTAATTTACTTGAACATGAGAAGGTAAGTGAGCAGCCTTATAAAGGATTTGTATAGGTTAGCATTCCACAGAGATCTAATGAATTATGACATTTCAGAATCTTGAAAGAGTTGCTGAGACATTGCTGTGGGTAGAGAGATGGAAAAAAGAATTTAAACATTATCAATTTATATTTTTCCAATATTAAAAATTATGAATGGTTATTTCATTTAAAATACTTCCTTAATCAGTATGGAGGCACCTCAAAAATCTGAAAATGGAACAACTACCTTACGACCCAGCAATCCCACTCTTAGGTATTTATCCAAAAAATCCCAAGACATTAATCCAAAAAAATATATGTACCCCTATGTTCATTGCGGCGTTATTCACAATAGCTAAGACTTGGAAACAACCAAAATGCCCATCGGTAGATGA